CCGCCTTCTCGACCGCCCTCCCTTATCTTGGAAGGTTTCTTGAGGTAGGGAAACCTTTCGATGCCATTCTGCTTTTGTTACTTTCTATCTAGATAGGGGCCAATGGTTTCTTGAGGTAGGGAAACCTTTCGAGGCCATTCTGCTTTTGTTACTTACTATGTTGATAGAGGCCAAGATTCCTGACATTTATGCTCTAAGCCAGCTTGACTTCTAATTGAAACGTCAATAGATTGCCTGAAGTTTGACAATCGCTGGAGAAACGACGTAGAGGGTTTTATGGACCAATTAGCTCTAGAAAATGGGATTAGTTTTGATGTTTCTGCATAACATGTCATAGAAGTTTATAGACATTTAAAGGAACTAGTGCATTTGCAAAATCATGATGTGTGACTGCTATTTTTTTGTTAAATCTAATATGTAAGTCTGAAAGAAGTCATTCTTCAAAAAATTTCTTGTTGTTGTTTCTTCTTTACAAACCATTCATCACAAAACTTTGTAAAGTCAGAATGGATGACAACTGTGCAAAACACAACTAGTCAAAACATAGGGCTGGATGATAACTATGCAAACATGAAGAGGAAGATAGGTTTACTGATTTGGTGCATTTTCTTGTGCATTAAGGTAGTATGTGTGTGGTAGCTCCCTGTCTCTATCTCTCTGTGGTTGTTGGTTTTAGTATTTTGTAAAGTATTGTATACACTATACATTCAACATTTGGTGTCGAGGAAGGTTGGTTGATTTGGATGGTTTTGATTTCCATCACTGTGGGATGAACTATGGCCTCAAACATGTTTGAAGAAACTAAAATAATGTTGGATTGACATTTGTCCAAACCTGGCTGAATTTTCTTTTCTAATTTTTTGAAGGCACATGTTTTAAGGATGGCTTTATCTTTTATTGCATACTTATGAATTCTATTCTGGTATAGTATGCTTTACCCTAATGTCAGAAGTATCGAAACCTATTGTTAACATTGACAGTGTTTTCTGAATATCAGATATTTACCATATCCTACAAGGGCTTCTGATGAAAAGCATCATTGTGCTTCAAAAATATATGCATTCAGTTGGTTTAAACTGTCAACATGCCCCAAATTGGTATTAAGGCTCAATAATTTTAATTTTAGAATTATTAAGTTGAATTGGTTGATTGATTAGCTGGAATTTTTAGTGGCAGTGAGAATAAAAAGGGACTCAAAATATGAAGTGGACTCTCACTTGGAACAAACTTAACATAGTTGTAATTCTTCAATAAAATCATAGCATGACAGACCTCAACTCGACAATTCAACTGAAGTTCAAGGCTTAAGGTGCATGTTAGTATTCTCTTGGAGTCTAGGTTCAAGGTATATGCCTTGTTGAAATGAGATATGCTTTGTGCAAAATGGTCTGGACAAAAGCACTAAAACTGGTAGCAGTTTTCCTACTTTGAACTTTTGAAATATGAATTTCAGCTTGTTAACTTAAATAGAACAACTTTGTGCTAATTGCAAACCACAATGACAAAAAGGATGCCCCTAGAGCAGGGAGGCAGAACCTGCCAAAAGTAAATATGAGCAATGAAGAAAATATGATTGTTTAAAAAGATGTCTTTTTGTAGTATATATCAAGAGAAAGAGAAAACTTCAGTTTTGATGGAAGCTATGGGGATACAATGAGGTCCACTGGTATCTCTAAGTTGTCTGAGCATAAATTTTGGCCTTATTTCACATGTATAATGATAATATACTACATTAATATCCTTGTATGATATGATTATGCTCCATTTTTTCTATTATATATATATATATATGTATACATATATATATGTATATATATATATATATGTATACATACAGATATGTATATATATATATATGTATACATATATATATGTATATATATATATATATGTATACATATATATATGTATATATATATATATATGTATATATATATATATATATATATATATATATATATATATATATATAATCTCTTTAGATTTTGATTTTACATATCTTTTTAGAAGTTAAATATTTTTAAATATGAAGGTAAAAGTTTTTTTTAACATATATATTTTTTTCCAATTTTATTTTATATGTTTTTTAAATATCATGACATTTTACTATTTATGATTTTATTTTACTGTTAACCTTCAGGTTGATCAATCCCACTGGTCCATATAGTCCCAGCCTTCCTTTATTTGACCTGCAAGCTATGGTACTGTGTCATCTGAGGTTATTATTTGTGACGCATTAAAATAAGAAGAAAACTTGAACTATTTGGGTCACTTTATCTTAGAAACCATATATGAAGTTATTAGAGTTTATATAGGTATCTCCTAGCTTGCTACCTTTAATCATATATTTTGATGGTGAAGCACTTAAAGAAGCATGTTGATCCTTATTGTACTCAAGGAACACAATCTCATACCACACCAGGTCGGATCGAGATGTACCGTCAGTATTAGTACCATGGTATATATTGAAGAGGACGAAGAAGAAGGAAGAAGAGGAGACGGTAAAGAAAGAAGAGTAAGAAGGAAGAGGAAGAAGAAGAGGAAGGAGGAGTAAGAGGAAGGAAGAAAAGGAGGCAGTGGAGGAAGAGGAGGAAGCATAATAGTCGAAAAGAGGTCAATGGTGTACGATGGGCACGTAGAGGTATGAATGACAACAGGTCCGTGCTTACGGAGAAGAGGACTCATGAAATCGTGAGCCTAATTGAATCTAGAAGTTTAACTATAAAGATATTTTATTAATTGGACCAAACCGGATTGGACCACCCTAACTGGGGGCGGTCCGCATACTTGCATAACGGTTTACTGGTCTGAGGGAAATTGCAATCATTGATTGTACCTACAATGAATATGTAAATTATGCATTGGTTATGCTTGTTTCAGAAAAGCTCCATGTAACTTGACATCTCAATATGGTTTAATGAATGATTTTGGAAAATGATGATTGCTATTTTTGCTAGTTGTATGGTTGTTCAAGAAATTCTTTTGAAAAGTGCCGGAAGCTAATAAGTAAAATATCAATTTTATGGTACATTTTTATCCTTCTTTTATTTTAAAACACCATTGCTTTCATTTGACAATATTGTGATATAATTTGTTTGCTTTGCTGGTAACTAATGCGATATAACTTTGTTACTGCTATCAGTGTCTTTAGGCACACTAGACGAAGATCTTAATGGGCACCTACCTGTGAACCACAAATATATTCTTTGTGCTGATATTTGTTTCAATAGTAGCTTATCATGTTACATAGCTGATTATTTTATAGTTGCTAACTGTTTAGCAAAATGAAAGCTCTCTTTAAATCTTGGGCTTCCTGGTACATACAGAGATTGTTGCTCACTATTTATTGCTCTGGATTCTTTTTATTGGAACATTGGTATGCCTTGTTCGCTAGTTCATCATTTAGTTCAGTTATTAATTCTTTTATTGAAACTTGTTCAGGGTGCAAATGCAACAGATCGGGCATCAATACCAGAAGAAAATAAGCAAATATTCTTCATGTCAAATGACATCCTAGATACTCAGAAGGGAGATCTGGCTTGGGCATCGTATGCTCTTTTACGCAACACGAACAGCATGTCAGTGGTATTATTTTAGATTCACTAAGAAACCGTAGTGTCAAGGGTGAGAGCAGAGATTATTCATAAAGATAACTGACAAATAGGTGGTGCATGTTTGGGCTGGAGAAAGATGAATTTTGCTTGACCAACAGAAAACTGAGATGATTATGATTGATTGATTCAATACGAGGTTTGAGGTGGTCACTTGTGTATGCAACCACTTTGGTCAGGCTCCAGATAACAGAGTGTTGGGTACATTGATGGATTGGGCAACTTGAAGCATTGGGCAACTTGAAGCAAATTCAAATTTCTGGCATATACTCTGAATACTGAAAATGGAAATGCAATGTGTTAAGTGTTTGAGAGATCCCAACCCACACAATCTAAACTTGGATGAAACTAGTAGAAGAGAGTAAAACCACAAACATAGCAAAATTAACCACGCAAATTGTGTCTGCACTCGTCTTTTGGGTAGTACTGGGCTTGTGTTTGGATTACTAAACTCATTAGCTTAGATTGAGAATAAGATTTCTTTTTGATCAGTTTGGTAGCTAGTGAACCTGACCTTATCTGTTTGAATAATGGTTTTAAAAATGATTAATCTTAATCTAGAATCAACGTGTATTGAACCTGAAGTTCCCAAAAGGTCAGTATCTTTGCTTTTTGATTAGCTAGGAAAATATAGTATATGATATTATGCAAGGTTATTTACATATTGTACAATATCAATATTATAACATAGACTACAAGATTGTGCTAAAATACTATTATATGTCAAACAGAGTAAAACTTATCATATGATAACATCATAAAATATCACATAAGAAATTGTGCTTATACGCAGGATTAACCTCATGGAAGTTTCAAATTAATAACAAAAAACTTAATGTTAACTTTAATTTCTTAATGTAAATAATCTATCATTTGAAAAGTTGTATAAAATGATTTTGCTAAAACCCAATCCTCAGATATGTATCATCTAATCTGACCGATCCATGCAATCCCCAGTTTTCTTTTTAATGACTCATTTAATTTCTGATCCTGATCTTTAAATATTAGTTTGAGTAGTAGATTTCTCTGTACTGTAATATTCACATGGTTCTACATTTAGCTGCTATGATAATAGACATTTAATCCAAGTGGAGTTGGTTTGTAATACACTTGGGCCTATGTCCTAAAAATGACTGCTCTGAACAGTCATTGGCTCGGCTTTTTCTGTCATAGTATCAGTACCATTGACCGATTCCAATGGTTGCATTATGTTACGTTGGTAACTAACTGCAACAGGAAATTTAAATATGAGAAATTATTTTGAAACTGTTCTCTTTGGTTTTTTGGTGCTAGATTATAGCAGTTAATGATGTAATATGCGTACGTGGCTACTGGAATACACCTGAAGATAAAGATGCTTCAAAAGATCATCTACTGAATTGGTTCAATAGTCAGATTCAGAAGACTGGGTTTTTTGACCTAAAAGACATGTTATACTTTCCTCAATGCTCAGGTAAAATGTTCTCTTTCTCCCTTAAAAAGGTTAAAGAGCCTTAGCTATATTCTCTCTCATCTAACAAATGACAGATAGGCTGGAAAATTATCCAAGAAGAATATTCTGTTTATAATGCATAAAAATATTCAAACAACTTGGGTAATAGTGGTGCAATTGATGGATCAAATTAAGAATGAAGTGCCATTCTCATCCATCAGATTTCTAGAGATAATGACAAGGGATTTTTGCATCACTGGACGAGTATCTGTGCAATTATTTTAGAAAAGACCTTATATGCTGTCATAGAAGCAACCAACCCCAAAAAGCATGCTAGATTGTGCATGCATGAATATATGTGAAAGAAAACATATGATTCATAGATGTCTCTTTAGTTATTTACTCGTATGACGAATGAGAAAACATTTCCAAGTTAAGAAGAGACCTATGTGCCATTCCCGTGGGTCAATTTGCATGTTGTTCCTGATATATGATGCAGTTGAACATGCTTTATCATAATGACATGCATATAACATTCTCATGGAAAATTGTATAATTTGCATTTTAATACCTGGAAGCATCCTGGTTACTTTGAATTGATATCTTTATTTTCAAAATTTCATTTTGCGACAGTGCATATCTTCTTAAGTGTGTTAGTTTATTTAGTCTATTCAGATGGTTGTTTACAGTTTCTAGTGGAAGATGAAGTTTAATTTCTCTTTTTTTTGTAACATGAATTGGTTTGACTTTCTCTCAGTTCCTTGTTTGTCCAATTGTTGTTTTCTCTTGCCGGAATGTGATTTTCTTTTGCTAGCTACAGAATCTGAACTTGGGACTCTACTACCTAAAGGAACTCTGTCAGCGCTAATACAACCAGTGATCAGAACCTCTGATCCAGTTGTTAATTTTGCAATGAAGAATGAAGGATTTATCCTGCTGGCATCCAGTGTCAAATATGCATATTCTGAAAAAGATAGAGCTTGGATCAGAGCAGTTGCTAATAAATTTTTGCATAAAATTTCGAAGGATTTGTAACATCTCAATGAGGTATACAGCTATTCATACTATTCTGTTATCCATAATATTTGATTTAGACATCAAACATTTAGATGACTTGGTTTGGCTTTTCATGGGTCAAATGCATGTTTAGAAATATTATAAAGTCCTATTCTGACATGCATCCTTTTCTTAGAGTTCATTTAGAAGAGGGTATTTTGGGATTCATTTATGTGTGCTGCATAATCTGAGTGTTTGATAACTTTTTTAGATGGTATTTTTTTCCCTTTCCATCTTTTACTTTGTTTTCATGGTATATTTCTCCTACCTTTTTGTTCCTTTTGCCAACCAGCATAGCTTCTTTTCCTTTAAGTTTTCTGGTTTATAATTAAATAGCCATTTACTGTATCTTTTTCCTTATTTTACTCTTTGGTGTTTATTCACCTTTAACAAAATGATTTTATCCCCTCGGAGCTTACTATTTATTTTTCTTCTATAATTTTCTTTTCGTGATCAGCTGAGTGTTCTTTCCTTTTCTTTCTTACTGTTTTAAATTAGATAAACTTTCTCATATTGATGTGTTATTTGTTAGAGTATTAAACTTGTTCACATTCGCTGCAATAAGTTCATTGCATAGTAGTAAACAAGTTAAATTAAAATTTGGTACTCAGAGATGGGTAGAATCTTATTTGGATTTTACCCCTTAGGAGATTAAATGTGGTACATTGTGTTGAGAGTCTTCCCTTAGGCTACATAAAGTCATGCTTTGTAACCCTTTAAAGTTACGCGCTCTAGATGTATGGGAGGTTGTAAAAGATGGTTTTGTTAAACCAAGTGCGGAGGGAGAAGCATGAATGGGTAATGAAGCAACGAAACAACTTAACGATCAAAGAAAGAGGGAGAAGAAGGCCTTGTTCACAAGTTACCAAGGCCTTGATGAAGCAATGTTCGAGATTATTGCTCCATTGAGGACATCAAAGGAGGCATGGGATACTTTACAAAGAGCATTTGGTGGTATGGTCAAAGTGAAAAAAAGATCTACCTACAAGCTTTAAGAGATGAATTTGAAAAACTACAACAAGGTACCTCTATATCAATCTCCGATTACTTCTCCAAAGTTATTTTTATTATTAACCAAATGAGAAGTAATGGTGAATAATTAAATGACTAAAGAGTAATGGAGAAAATTTTAACATATTTAGATCTGAAGTTTGATTTCGTTGCCGTAGCAATTGAAGAATCCAAAAACCTAGAACAAATGTCATTGGAACAACTAATGGGTTATCTTCAAGCAAAGGAACAAAGGCTTACAAGAAAAGGAGAAGATAAGTCATTAGAGCAAGCTCTACAAACTAAACTTGCTCTTGAGAACAAAGGAGAACCAAAGTCTCAAAGAGGTAGAGGTTGTGGGCAACAAGGAAGAGGAAGAGGTCAACCTACCTAAGAAGCACAAAACAACCAAAGTGAATGAGACAACATAGGCTAAAGAGGTCGAGGTCGAGGCCGTGGACGAGGGAAATTGGAGGTATGAAAAATCTCAAATTCAATGTCATGTTTGCAGGAAGTTTGACTACTATGTTACAAAATGCTATTATAATCCCAACAATGCAAGTCAGAATGCAAATTTTGCAAATACAAAAGAAAAAAAATGACAATCCCGTTTTACTGATGGCTAATGATGATATAAAAGATAGCCAATCTATAACATGGTATCTAGACACAGGTGCTTCCAATCATTTGAGCGGCTATAACGAACTATTTGTCGAAACTAATGCAAATTACTTTGGTAACTTTTGATGATTTGTCACCCGTAAGAGACAAAGATAATTTTTTTTCTTGAGCTCAATAATGGGAAGCAATTATGGATTTCAGGTGTTTACTATGATCTTGATATGAAGAATAATATTTGAATAATATTTTAAGCTTGATTCAGTTGCTTGAAAAATGATATGATATTAAAATGAAAGATTTATTTCTTTTAATTCGTGACAAAAACAAGACCAATCTCTCGTATGAAAATTGACTAAGAACAAGATATTTATTACAAGGATTGAAATTTTGTATCGTACCGGAGTTTCGAGATTCGTTCGGTATGGCATGGTATTGTATAATTTCGGCATATCGCTCGGTATATATATATATAT